TATAATATTTTCAATTAAATTGTCAACATATAGAACATGCTTAAATAAAAGAAAGTAAAAATATGTTTCTCCTTTCGGTCGGAGAGGAGAATTATTGCATCAACGTGAATGGATCGATATTCTCTCTTCAGAGTATTTGCCCGTTCGCGACATCGGAAGACGGCAAACAGTTCCAGCGGTGGCACCGGCGGGAATGAGGGCTCAGATGGCTTTGATCCATATCGATCGTGGTCACCACTCACCGAGGAGGGTTACGCTGAGAAACTTCGTTTACTCCGAGAAGCAGCATCCGTACCCATGGAACGATGGCGAGCTCCGACCGTTTTAGCCTGGTTAGAGGTGGCTCTCGGGATGCCACAATATGGTCCGCGATGTGCTGAGAATGTCAAATCGGGCAAGGTAAACGATTTATCACTTGTCCCATCAGCGAGCTTTAAATCGGTTTAACCTGTTGATAGAAGTGTGAAGAATTTTTATCCTGTAACCGTTCTCTGTTTGACTAAGCTGACTGATGACTGATCTTGATCGTGTCAAAGATTTATCTTTTATATAAGTCTTTTTTCTGATTTTTGTATTTTATAGCAATAATCTACAAAACAGTTTCATTTGATTAAAAAATTTATTTATCAGTTTAGTCTTTACTATGATATTATTTTCAGGTTCTACTTGAACTAAGCGACGCCGAATTGGAAGCTGGTTTAGGTGTAACTCATCCGCTTCATCGAAAGAAGCTGCGCCTGGCCATTGAGGAACATCGGCACCCGAGTCACGTTCGTTACCCCTGTATCGCTCAACTCGGTCACACCTGGGTAAGTTCCGAGTGGCTGCCGGATCTCGGCTTGGCCCAATACTCGGAAAGTTTTGCTACCAATATGGTAGACGCACGTATGCTGGATCATCTGAGTAAGAAAGAGCTTGAGAAACTGCTTGGAGTTACGAGGAAGTTTCATCAGGCCAGTATCGTTCATGGTATTCACTTGCTGCGGATGCTAAACTATGATCGACAGGTGAGCGAATTTGATTATCGATTGCGATAAAATTACAAGATTTTGTTACATTTACATTACATTTCAAGGATATATGAAGATAAATCAAGACTAATTATAATATCAGTTGATTATGAAGATTAATCCAATTATGATTAAATAATATCATCGTAGAGATAACGTCATGCTTTTACGATAGGCTCTCGCTGTCAGGAGACATCAATGCGAACAGGTTGATACGGATCCTTTGGTCTGGACGAATCAAAGGTTCATTCGGTGGGCAAGGAACATCGATCTTACAGAATATGCCGAGAATTTGAAAGGTAAATTGTATTTCGGCGAGGTTATCTATATATGTTTTTAAAATTAAAATATATTACACGACTATATGACATTAGATTACAATTTCTAAAATTTTGTAAAATTATAAATTTATGATTTATAAATTTAGTATACAAATTTGTTAAAAGAATACAAAATTATTATTCTTCATATATATATATATATATATATATATATATATATATATATATATTACTTTA